GGAGATGTAAACCAGTTTTTTTTTTTTTTTGGCTAATGCACTCTGTAAAGTGCACCTATTTTCCAAATTCGGGAAGTATATCTTAACAAACATATGGCCAAAGTCACATAGTCAAAATGATGACGAGTACATGAAACTAGAAAATGACGATGCAACGAATTAATCATAAAGTATTAAAACAAGCGTTCAACTTCGGCACAACTTCAAGGCAGTTGCACAAGATTCATAAATCTATTTATTTTTTGATATCGTGATGTGATTTTCATAAATCTCAAGTATTGAAACAGATTAACTTGATTCAAAGTTACTAGTGTTATATGAGGGATCTAGGATAGAGCTATTAATGTTATTTGCCCATTAGTTTGAAGAATTGGCTTAGGTACTGGTGAAGTATGGTTCTGAGATTTAGCCATGATGGGTTGTGATGCTTTTCTTGACAATTGCATTCAACCCATGGGCTATGACCCGATAAAGCTTAGAAACAGGCCCAAAACCCATCCCAACTGAATGACACGTGTGTTGCTCTGAGCCCTTGATCTGCAACCTGATCTACAGTGAAGGGAATGAGTATATATGGCATATGAGTGGTCATTGGAGCCCTTAACTTTTCATTCTATTTCTGCCTCGTGCGTGAGAAGCTTATGGGGTTTCCTTCGTGTTTTCTTCTCTTGATTCTCTCTTTCGATTCTGTGTATAGATTAAAACTGCTGGTTTTAATCATCAAACTGTAATTGGGGTCTAAGTGATTCTTCGATTGAAGGTTTTAGAGTGTTAGATCAATCTGTTTGTTCATTGAGTAGCTGCGTAGTCGATTTCTTTAGGGTATTGGTGTCTTTGTGGCCGTTTCTTTGTACAAAAGGATATAATGAATTATTTCTGAGCCCTATATATAATAATCGATCCTTTGGTGTTCTTGGTTTTTGGATGTTCTTTGTGATTCCATTTTTCTGCTTCCGTTGGTATTTTGGCTCAACAAGCAGCTTAAAATTTAGATTTTAATTTAAGTCAAAATCAAGAATTAATTTTAACTACATATTTCATTGGATCCACAGCATTTCAAGCCCATATTTCATCAAATTTTATCAAAATTTACTAAAATTCTGATTTAATATGTTGTTTGAACAATTATATAATGCAGTTGGTCTACGTACTGAGGATATGGTGATTTGAACAAATGGAGATGTGCTTTTAGTTCCTCGTTTAACATTCTATATACTAAAATCTTCTTTAGACTTTATTATTATGTTTGGTTTCTTCTACAAATAATTGCGTACATACATTACCAGTGATAGAATATTCAGTTACCTTTAATTGATTATAATTCCTTATTTAGCCTTCCAATTCTTTTTTCCTCACGGATACTCTTGCACGTACACACTGTGCACGACCATGCACGAATGCCTCATTATTTGATATCAAAATCAAGGCCCTGTTCTTTTATATAATTTTTGTTATGAGCGGGAAGGAAAATATTCAGGAAAACTTTCATTCCGTTCTTGGTTGCAAGGGAAGAAATACACAAGGTATGGAGTAGGAAAAATTAACTTATCCGTGGATGAAAGATTCAAGATTATGTATCATTTCCATTTCATCCTTGTTTTTTATAAACAAGTCTATTTGCTACTTTAGTAATAGCAAATACGTCTGTATTTTCCTTTAGTTTCTTATCTTTACACAGATTTGCAAGTGTGAAAGAATATATGCGTTTTCTTTATTCTGTATTGTTGCTAATGTTTTTATTTTATATTGTTTGTCCAGATTTCATCTAATAATGGGCATAACAATGCGTAGAAGTTCAAGAGCATCCATAATGGATCTAACGGAGCTCATCTCATCATTACAGAAATTCTGCTACATTTGTAGATTAAAGGGATTGTAATGCCCCATGCAAAGCATCACTTGGCATATTCAAAAGACGACATTCTAGTCTAACCCTGAGATGTTGGACGAATTTCAAGAACACATGACCTTATTGAGCCATCTATAATCAATTTTATTGAATCTGGGCAGCAATAAAAATGTTAATTGACAACAAATTAAAGATTCCTTCGCAAAATGTTGATGCTCAAGCAATTGCTTTATATGAGATTCTAAGAGGAAGCGAACCATTACGTAGATAACAAGAATAACAATATCATTATAGTGAATTCATGTAACGACTTCTTTCGTTTGTCTGAGACCCCCCATAATGACCCAACCGTTGTATGCAATCCGGTCACAAATGAGTATATAGAACTTCCAGCTCCTAGCAATGCTGATGAGAGTACGGTGTCTTGTGGATTTGGATTTTGTCAACAGACTAATCAATATAAGGTTCTTATTGTCTTCAGGAAAAAATCAGCATGCTAAATCACAAATTGAAGGAACAACATTCTATCCTTATAGGGTGGTTGAGATTCATACCCTTGGGACCAAATCATGGAGAAACATTGGATTTGCTCCCAGCTTCCAAAGCATAACGTCTCCAACCTATCTTAATGGGGTCCTTCATTGGATTGGTGACGGATGTAGCGGGAAGGATCTTGTACTCTCATTTGAGTTTAGCAGTGAGTGCTTCAAATTACTTCCTCTACCATGGGAATTATTGGAGAGAGTCTATGTTTATCTGCTACTTCTGGTGTTGATTTGATTGACATATGGATAATGAAGAGTTGCTGTGTTCAAAAATCTTGGTCAAAGTTGATCTCTATCAATTTTCCAACACTAGGGAGATGGAATTCTTGCTATTTCCAGCTGATAAGCTGCTGCGAGAAATTTTTCATATTCCTTGAGAACCAGATAATATATTATGATCCTAAAAGAGTAGAATTGAAGACTCTCATACTTCATAGGATGGGATTTATTTCTATATCAGTTGTGCATTTTTTCTCCCTCAAGATCATCATCATCTTCTTCTTAGACTCTAATACTAAATCAATGTAAGATCATCTCCTTAGAATACATAATTTACATGCATTACCAGTGATAGAATATTCAGTTAACTTTAATTGATATTAATTCCTTATTTGACCTTTCAATTCTTTTTCCCGCACGGATACGCTTGCACACACTCTGTACAACCACGCACGCAAGTCCTCATTTGTATTGAGAGACTTAAGTCAACCAATAAGTCAGTTGTCTCATCCTCGGCATCCTCAACATCCGTGTCCATTTTCACAATACAGACTTGAACGTCAAGAAATCGATTTACTAAGGAAAAAAGGTCCCAAATAGATTGACGAAAAAATAGCGATGAACCAATGACACGATGCAAGAATTTGGAATTATTGGTAGCACACAAATGTTTTTTCTTGTCTTCCTTCTCGATTTCAAAATAGTGCAGCTCAGTTACTTTCTCGAGAAACTCCTCATTTTTTGATCAAATGGACATCTCTTTGTATTGTCATGAAATTTTGATGCAGGAGGGTCCGAGTC